TATTGCCTTCTGTAGAGCTGCTTTACAGCTGAACTGAATTTAGTATTTGATTATCTTAGCAACATTGACACTGTTATTAAACTAATTTAAGCTCTTAGTTCAACATTGAAATAATTAGAAATTGAATAATGACAATGTGGAGCCGTTATTAGCTGAATTTAATTTCTTTCATAATTGACGAACGTTGCAACACTGTTATAAAAACTAAACTTTGAACTAATTTGAACTGAATATTTGCAACTGTCTTCGGTAGAGCTGCTTTACATCTGAAATGAAAGGGATTTCATAATTGATCAATTTTGAAACACTGTTATTTTCCTGTTTATTTCTGTGTATTATAAAAAGCGCTACATAGAAAATTGTGACTTTACTTAAGAAGAAATCCTGTCAAGAAATCCCGTTCACTAAACCACAGAGCGATTTGCTTACGTTTTCTCGGTGAGAGCTGTGCGGCTAAAGTGAAGGATGAGCTGATGAAGGGGGTCTGGTTTTGATTCGGTTTCTTCATCTTCTTCTTCTTCCTGCTCCATTGCTTTCTGCAAGAAACAACACTATGAACAAACTACACTCAAGAGGGTGTACTCAGAGAGTGTAAATGGATATACAGACTTACAGATAAGTCATCAATCATCTTGTCTTCAAAAGAGTAGCCCTCATTTTCAATCCAGTTGCGCTTGTAACCATTAAGGAACATGTTAGATGCCCGGTGCCTGAAATAAAAGGAAAAATAAGTCTGTGCATCCCACTATACTCCAGGAGAGCATTAAAGTAAGGTTATATGTGTCTTACCTGGGGATGTTGTACAGCGGTGTCATTCTGAAGCAGGCCACTACTGCCCTGCGACGCTGTTTGGACAGAAGCTTGTGCCAAACCATCTTCTTGGATTTGAATGGACGCTCAGTCTGAAGGAAGACAAAGAAGAGGAAGAAATGGCTTAAGATTGAGGAAAAAAAGCATGTAACTTCATGTGTATGTGGAAACAGGCCTCACCAACTCAATGTGGTAGAGAACAGCCGAAACTTCCTGAACTCTCTTCACAACCTTCTCCGGTACATCAGCGTCTTCAGCTTTACCTGAGGTCTCCTTATACAGAGCCATCTGCCAGCGCATAGATGGGTCCTCAACCTACAGACAGACAGACAGAGATGTGTACTCACAGACACTTACAGGTGTATCTCAATAAATTAAAAT